TCACTTGAGCTTTCAGGGGAGCATGGGCATTCATAAGGAGCGCCACACCACAGCCGAAGCCTCTGGACCAAGGGATCACGAAAAGGCTGTTCACGTCATAGAGGCAAACATGTCCTCGGGCTTCCTTGGCAGCTTTATATTCTTATGTGGATTGCATGTAGTTGAACAATTCGAGCAGCTGGGCATTTGTCATGGCCCATTGGGTTGGGTCGGAGCCCTGCAAGCTCCTGGTGGCACATGGTATTGCATCTGCCAGGAAGTCAGGCCTTTTTGTCTCGAGACTGATGCATCGAAGAACCTTGCCCTGCCCATCCTTGATCTCCACATCCTTGCTGTTCACGGTTTCGACACGGGCCCGGCTGCATGCGCTGGCTCCCATGGCCCAAAGCAGCACTTAGGCGGCCAGGAAACGTCCCGGCTGGTCATGCACCCCTTTGTAGTTGTTGAGGACTTTTTCAAATATGATTGTATATTATAAGGAAATGAAAAGTCAATAATGATCTCAAGTCGTGAGGCAAGCCCTGTCTATCCTGGGGCAACTCCAGTCCTTGTGTATAGGTTTGATAGTGCTGACTAAGTTGATACGATTTCATATAATATCATATCATGAATTGATAGAAACCAACATATATGTATATATATATATATATGTATCATGTGTATACATATATATATATATGCCATTCCCTGGTTTCTTGGTGAATCTTGGTGATATGTATCCTGTATCCTTGCAATGAGATTCGACATCCTAGACTCCTAGACCGAGCATGACCGAGCCAAGACTCACAGAGGAAAGGTCGAAACTGAGACATCATTTGGACACATTGCAAGCAGCAAACATGTGGATATATTATGATATATTTATGATATATTAATGATATATTAATGATATATTACCCACCACTGTCTGGAACATAACTAAGATACACATAAAATGTTAGGAATGATCGAGCTGTTTGATATACGAAGCGTTTTAGGTGATTTAGCGGTGCTTGATGCTAGCCAACAAAGCATTGGGTAATGCAAGGTGAACCCCGGGAAAAAAAAAAACTATGGATGTAACATGATGTAACCAGCCTGAAACATCCTGAAACAACTGGCGGGTCTCATTCCTAGATAGAACATTCTTCGCACGGGACTATATGATTCTGCGCCAGCACATACTCAGGGGTGCAGTTGGGGTTATTATATAATATAACTACAAGATACTACAGGTATGGGATTCTAACCTCCATATGGTGAAATCTCACCCACAAAAATTCAACTGCAGCCCCAAAGTAACAACCATCATTGGGATTTCTGGGACTCCTCCCGCTGCCAAAGTGCTCGATCAGGCCGAGCGGAACTGCGGTGTGTCTGCCACCCGTCCGTGGCTCGCGAGTTAGCGCCCTGTTGAGCCAAAAGGCCAGCCATTTCATGTGGAAAACGATCACGGTTCCATGGTCAAGTTCCATGAGATGAATGGGTTATGGTAAGTTATGGTCATCCATCCACTGGGAATCCTTTTGACCGGATGGATTCCGGAGGTTGGGGATGACCACCCCTCAACATGAGACCATGAACGGCCCCGTTTTGGGGGAGATGGCATATTCAGTGCAGGGCATACCCCATCCCCTTGTTTGAAGCACCACGTCTATTGTGTTGTTTGGTGAACCTTCCAAACAAATCATGGAATGGAAGACCTGCAGCAGTTCTTCTACTCAACTTCCAAACGCATTTTTATCCACTCGATGTTGAAATCTATAATTTCTCGTCGGATGATGGATACTTGACCGTACAAGCCATGTCAAATGCGAACCCCGGCAGCAAACGCTGCAGCTGCCGGTGCTTTTCAAACTTCGCGTTGGTGTTCGGTGCGCGTCAACTCGTCAACTCGCTAAAGGTCTGCGGCGAGGTCCAGAAGTGAAATCGACAAAAGATCTTGCAGGCCTGAGAACCTAGGGTGGCAACGTTGCACATGTTGCACGGCATCCCAGGACATTGTGAAAACCGCAACAACCAACCTGGCCCTGGCAGCCATGGAAAAACAAAAATCATTGCCTGTTAAACAGATATCATTTCCATTAGATCACCATGTTCCTATGGTTAAATCATGTTAAATCACATTTTTCCCATGCAGCCATTGATTTCTGACACCCTCCATCTTTGGTAACGCCCTGGGGAGATGGTGGTTGAATTTCGCAGTGCGAAAAGGTAGGCAGAAACCACATACCCGCGGAAAGGCATGACTATTTCCAGCTTCTCCAGGTTTTTTCCCCAAAAAAACATCATTAACCACTTCGCATCAGAGATGGAAGAGATTTCCGAAATCGCTTAGTTTGAACTCTGGAAAGCATGTAAATACAATCCCCTACCCTTTTTATCCTTTTTTGGTATTCAAAACGAATACCCCAAATTAAAATTGGGTTGATGAGGCAGGGCTTATCTAATTTAGTTTTCCACATCTTGGATACCCTGCGACAGAAAATGTGGTTGGTTTGTATACATACATATCATATATATATATATATCATACATGCATATACATGTATATATATGTGCACATATATATATATGTGTACCAATGTGTAGATATGTATGTATATATAGATATAGATGTATATGTATGCATATGTTAAAAAAACATTGTATGATTATAAATGTATATTTGATTATATGAATGTATGTATGCATGTACGCATGTACGTACGCATGGATGCATGCATGTATGCATGCATATCTGCATATCACATATATTATACATCACCACTTATGGCAAAAAAACAGTTGAACCAAGCTACCCATGCCGTTTCTCACAGTACAACTTATTATATAGATCTTAGTAGCACATCTGGGTACCAGTACCACATTACCACAGTGCACAAATTGATGCTGAATGAGGTGAACAAACTTACTAAACCTCTGCTAGCAGAATTCTTCGAGCATCAACTTATTTACTAAATGTGGTACCTTCCCTGGACAAACGTAGACCTTGCCGACTAGGGGGTTGAAAGACTAGTTTCCACATGTTTCCACTAAAATCTAACTATGTTACCATGCTCAGGGTCTATGTTGGCTTGTCTCAAAACAGATTAATTATAGATGTAATAAGCGCAATCAATCCATCATCGATGTGGATCATAATTATAACTGGGGAATCCCCATCATTGTCGCCGAGGTGCAGCCGCAGTGGTACCTAGCATTCAGGAAAATTGACCATGGCTTTCTTTGGGGCTGATCATTGCTGCTTCATTTGCTGCGATATTCATCACTTTTTGTGGGGGTTGTTTGATGAAAGTTGATACCATAGATTCGAGAACGTAATGAACAAGATGGAGCCCACGAACCCGAATGCTCACACGTATGTTAATGGTACAGATGTCAATACACATGGTTCTGCAGTCACGCACAATACCTTTCTGCAATAGTTTATTTGAACAGTCTTGTACATGTTCCCTTGTTACCAGTCTGCAGTGTGGAGTGGAAAGTGTAGAGTGTGGCGTGTGGAGTGTAAAGTAAGGAATGTGGAGTGTAAGTGTAGAGTGGGGAGTGTAGAGTGTGTAAAGTGTAGAATGCGGAGTGTAAAGTGAAGAGTGTGGAGTATGGAGTGGAAAGTGTAGAGTGTGGAGTGTAGAGTGTGGAGTGTGGAGTGTAGAGTGTGGAGTGAGGAGTGTAAAGTGCAAAGTGCAAAGTGTGGAGTGTGGAATGTGGAGTGTAAAGTGAGGAGTGTGTAAAGTGTAGAGTGAGAAGTGTGGAGTGTAAAGTGTAGAGTGTGGAGTCTGGAGTGAGGAGTGTGGAGTTTGTAAATTGTACAGTGTGAAGTGTAGAGTGTAAAGTGTAGAGTGTAAAGTGCAGAGTGTGGAGTGTAGAGTGCAGCGTGTGGAGTGTGGAGTGGAAAGTGTAGAGTGTGGTGTGTGGAGTGTGGAGTGAGGAGTGTAAAGTGTGGAGTGTGGAGTGAGGAGTGTAAAGTGTGGAGTGTGGAGTGTAAAGTGAGGAGTGTAAAATCTAGAGTGTGGAGTGTGGAGTGTAAGGTGTGGAGTGTGTAGTGTAAAGTGTGGAGTGTGGAGTGCAAAGTGTGGAGTGTGGAGTGTGGAGTGGAAAGTGTGGAGTGTGGAGTGTAAAGTGTGGAGTGAGGAGTGTAAAGTGTGGAGTGTGGAGTGAGGAGTGTAAAGTGTGGAGTGTGGAGTGTAAAGTGTGGAGTGTGGAGTGAGGAGTGTAAAGTGTGGAGTGTGGAGTGTAAAGTGTGGAGTGTAAAGTGTGGAGTGTGGAGCGTAAAGTGTAGAGTGTGGAGTCTGGCGTGGAAAGTGTAGAGTGTGGTGTGTAGAGTGTGGAGTGTGGAGTGTAAAGTGAGGAGTGTAAAGTGTGGAGTGTGGAGTGAGGAGTGTAAAGTATAAAGTGTGGAGTGTGGAGTGTACAGTAAAGTGTGGAGTGTGGAGTGGGGAGTGTGGAGTGTGGAGTGTAAAGTGGGGAGTGTGGAGTGTAGAGTGTGGAGTGAGGAGTGTAAAGTGTAAAGTGTGGAGTGTGGAGTGTAAGGTGTAGAGTGTGGAGTGTGAAATGTGGAGTGGAAAGTGTAAAGTGTGGTGTGTAGAGTGTGGAGTGTGGAGTGTGAAATGTAAAGCGTGTAGTGTAGTGTAAAGTGTAGAGTGTGGAGTGTGGAGTGTAGAGTGTAAAGTGTAGAGTGTAAAGTGTAGAGTGTGGAGTGTAGAGTGTAAAGCGACGAGTGTAAAGTGTGGAGTGAGGAGTGTAAAGTGTGGAGTGTGGAGTGTAAAGTGTGGAGTGTGGAGTGTGGAGTGGAAAGTGTGGAGTGTGAAGTGTGGAGTGTAAAGTAAGGAGTGTGTAGTGTAAAGTGTGGAGTGTGGAGTGTAGAGCGTAGAGTGTGGAGTGCAAAGTGTAGAGTGAGGAGCGAGGAGTGGAAAGTGTAGAGTGTAGTGTAAAGTGTGGAGTGTGGAGTGTAAAGTCTCAGGTGAGGAGTGAGGAGTGTACAGTGCAAAGTGTAAAGCGTGGAGTGTAAAGTGTAGAGTGTAGAGTTTGGAGTCTAAAGTGTAAATTGTGGAGTGTGGAGTGTAAAGTGTAGAGTGTGGAGTGCGGAGCTTCCCCCATAGACACGGCGACGCCACAGGAAAACCAGAGACTCGAGACGAGACACGTGGGAGGACCAAAACGAACATTTCGTGCGAGACTTCCTCCAATTTTGATATTTTCGACACGTTGTCAAACAGGTTGGAATGTCACAAAGTGCCACGCCTGCCACACAAAACGACATGACAACCTGCTTGGACACATTCGAATAGGAGATGTTTTCCAGCTTCCCCCATAGACACGGCGACGCCGCAGGAAAACCAGCGACTCGAGACAAGACACGTGGATGCAGAAAAACCAGCATTTCGTACGAGACTTCCTCCAATTTTGACATTTACGACACATTATCAAACAGGTTGGAATGTCACAAAGTGCCACGCCTGCCACGCAAAACGACATGACAACTTGCTTGGACACATTCGAAGAGGAGAGGTTTTCCAGCTTCCCCCATAGACACGGCGACGCCGCAGGAAAACCAGCGACTCGAGACAAGACACGTGGATGCAGAAAAACCAGCATTTTGTACGAGACTTCCGGCAATTTTCACAGTTGGCAACATGACAAAAGGACAGGTTTTGCAGCTTCCCCCATAGACACGGCGAAGCCACGGGATAACCAGAGACTCGAGACGAGACACGTACGAGCACCAAAACGAGCATTTCGTGCGAGACTTCCTCCACTTTTCACACTTTGTAGCTTCAAAATCGACGTTTTCCTACGAGTTTTCCTTAGAACCTGAAAATTTGCAACCTCAAAATCGATGTTTCGTGCGAAGCTTCCGTCAATTTTCAGCACATGTCACAAAACGCCACGCCTGCCACGGAATTTGCACCTTGTCGCCATTTAACGCAGCCCTGCCAATGCGATTTGCAAAAAACACGCAACGCGACACGTCTAAAGTGCTGCGCCTGCCACGAAAAATGACGATGGACACGTCCAAAGTGCTGCGCCTGCCACGAAAACTGCAACACATCTTCTGAAAACGTCGCAAAAGTATTGCACCTGCCACGCAAAACGACTTTCGACACATTCCAGAACACGTCTGAATGTCACGAAGTGCCATGCCTGCCACGCGAAACGAAGCAACGACACGTCTGAAAACGCCAAAAAGGACCACCTCTGCAAAACTTCCCATAGGCACGGCCATACGGGGATCGCGCGGACGGTTTCGAACGGTTGCGAACGGTTGCGACCGTGAACGCAACGTCGAGCGAACACACCCTCAACCCCCAGACCCCCAGAGTGAAACGGGAACCCTTGCTACGCATTCGGGAAAAAAAGTGAAACTTAAAAATACACCGTGGGTTTTCCCAGACGATTTCATGGAGATTTTGTGTGGGGTTGATCCAAGGAAAGTCGTCTACATGCAAATAATTGTGAATGTACCTTTTTCGTTGCTCTGACATCTCAGGGTTGTATGATCACAACTGGTAAAGAACGGATTTCTCATTTCATGGATTCTTAGAATCGCCAACAAAAATTTGACAGTATAACACCCCATATAGTAATCAATCCACCCTAATTGTCATTGATAAATGTTATCCACATGTTATTCTTGATGGTTAAAAACCTGACAAAGCTGATGGTTTTCATCAACCCACAGGGGCAGGTTTTGCAGCCACTGCTCATCTGAGAACAGCCCTCAAACACGGGTGTGATCCTGGATAGCGTCAAACAATGACGACGACGACAAGAAGAAGAACAGCACCACCACCACCACCAGCAACAACAACAACCACAAGAACCACAACAACCACAACAGACCACTGACAATCCCTGTGCACTGCTGACCTCAATAGTAAAAATAATTGTAGCTGCCACCGCCGCCGCCGCTGCCTTTGCTGCTCTTCCCTGCGAGCATTGAATAAATAGTCACCAGGTATTCAGTTCTCCATCTACAAACGTCTACAAATATTGTCAACATGAGGGGCAAGGTTGTGTACTATTTATATATATATATATGTGTGTACACCATATCTTTATTTTCTGCATATACATATGGATATGCACATGTTTGCGTAGTGATGTGTACACATTCTCATCAGAATCGATGGCAAAGGTGGGCTAGTCCTACGCTTGTTCCCTTTATATGTATCGGCTACCCACAACGCTGCTGGTTGCTGAACCACAAAATGAGTGATTGGGCAAATCACCCAGTTCTGATGGTTAATGTCAAGAAATTGTAACATGCAAAAACAATCTTTACTAGTTATACTATATGGGTTTGCCTGAAAACAGGGCATCCATGGGCATCCCAAGATCTCAAGCTTCATCAGCATTTTCCTCAGTTTCCAACACAGTCTTATGAGACAACCGGATAACCAAATATCACATTGCTAACTACATATGTATGTATGTATGTATGTATGTATGTATGTATGTATGTACGTATGTGTGTATGTATGTATATGGAGGTTTCCTAAAATGGTGGTACCCCCAAATCATCTATTTATAGATTCATTTTCCACTATAAACCATCTATTTCAGGCTACCCCCATTTAAGGAAACCCCTATAGCCCTATAGCTTATATATATATATGATTATTAACTATATATAATTCATCACATGTATATATATATATATATTTATTTATTTATAGCCAAATCATTTTATACCATCATTTTCCCCAGTTCTACTGATACAACCCCCCCGCCCCACCTTTGCCCTTGCTGGACTTGCCTGTGCCTTTGCCTTGGTGAGGATAGTGGGGTGCAGGCCAGGGCTGTAATTTTGGGTTAACGAATGGTCAAGAGCGGTTGATAGTGGCTGGTTGGTGGTGCAATAACCATCTTGAAAAATATGAGTCAATGGGAAGGATCACATCCCATATATGAAATGGAAAATAAAAACATGTTCCAAACCACCAACCAGGTGGTTAATAGTATTTGATAGTGGTTAGTAATGGTTAACAACGGTTAGTAATAATGGCTATGAACATAAACACCATCAATTCTCCAAAACCAAAAAACAACGTGGGAAACTGGTGTCCCTATTTGGTTGCACCCTCGAAAAACAATGGTATCATAGTATAACTATGGTGATAACCTCCAAAAGTTACTATGGTTATATAGTCCACTTATTATGGTTCCCATACACCCCCAAGTAGGGAGGCGGACCAAAAATCGCAGGTAACCTGATGAACGGCGTAGTAATACTATAAGCAGTTCTTCAGAGTCAGGGGTCATGCTGGGGAGCCATTTCCATTTGGCGTAAATCTTGTTTCTGCTTGGCTTCAATCACAATTCTACATCCCTATGTTTCGGGGAATTTCATCGCATCAGCATCATTTCAGGCTGAAATCCCCAATATGGACCCGGAGAATCTACAGTAGTTGAAGGATCTATTCTCAAAACAAACAGATTCGGAGTCACGCGGCGTCAACCCTGATTTCTGATCCGTGATGATTGGCATATTCCAACGTGGATATAAGACGTCTTTGAAACCAACAGCCAGTCTATACCAGAGGCCAACTGGTGAAAATGGCTGGTCGAATCACCAGCGCATCCCTTTCCTAGGTTAATGTGGGTTATATAGCGAGATTGATGTGACATATACATCTATCCAACCATATACCTGCCTATCTATCAATCTATCCATCTGTATCTCTATCTTTCAACCCATCTGTTGATCTATGTATCCATGTGTATCTCATTGCATGTCTATGTCTAGAAATATCTAGATTATTCATAGATGTATAGTATTGTATAATCATGCTGCCCAATCATAGACCTCCCTACTTGGGATATGTTATGCTACTACAACACTTGTCCATACTTTTCCAGGAAAACTGGGCGAACTGGTTCATCTTCTTGGAGCTTTTCTTGGAGCTCCATGTTTTTTTACCGACTCGGCACTCCCAGGCCTTTGGAATTACCATGATTCCTATTCATATCCCCGTTGTTTGTTGGATAAATCCTGACTAACCACCACAAAATCCCATTAGATCATCATTAATTCATATTAAATCCCATGAATTTGTCTATTAACATCTGATTAAATCACATAAACATTGGGGATGGTTCATCTTTGGAACTACCGTGTTATATGTTATGCCGTCGAATTCTATGAAATGGACATCCTCTCAGCTCGCTACAGGCCTGCTACAGGCCGCTCGTGTCCGGCATCGCCAAGACGCTTCTGTAGTCGTCGTAGGAGTTGCCCCAACTTCCGCCCTTGGACCTGCCGTAGCTCCTGTCCTGGTCGATTAATAAAGGTAGATCTGGGTAAACTCCCCATCAACGGAGGTTTCTAGCCAAGAGGATCATCTAAATCTATAAACGGGAGATTGTCCATCATATTTGGATCAACTATAAGAAGTCACTGACCTAAAATAAGATGAACTCTAAGGCTATTTTGGGATAGTTCCCCCAATCCTAACCATCATTCAAGGTTGCAGTGCGGTCGTTGAAGCCGCCCCGTTAGATGATCCGTGTTTCCCTGTTGGAGACCCTGCAATTTGTGACCTGATCACCGCCAAGCTTGGAGCCATTCAGAAAGGATGGAAAAAGGATTACCTGGTTGGTGGTTTCAACCTACCCCTCTGAAAAATATGAGTTCGTTAAAGTCAGTTGGGATGATGACATTCCCAACTGAATGGAAAAATAATCCATTCATGTTCCAAACCACCAAATCTGAATGGTGGATCTGAATGGATCGCTGAAGCCACCGGTCCCAAAAAATGTGAGGATTGCTTTCGGTGTCCTCATATTTCCAATCATCGTAGGACCTTCCACCTGACTTGCACAAGGGACATCCAATTCGAAGAATCTCAACTGGGTTTGTCGGAAAATAGGCTGTCCCTACAATCCACTGGTCCATCATCAAATGTTCAATCATTGGGTGTTGCTAGCCATTATTTTGGGGGTAGCCGGTATACATCAAGTTGAGACAAACCCAACTAATTCCACCTTCCACCAAGGATTTTCACTCGTCGTTTTCGCTACTGTATAATCATATCCTTGAATCCACCAATCACAAGTCGTGGTCACCATGGTCGATCTTGAAGATCAGAAAACATACAACGGCCGCCCGAAGAAACCCGGCAAAAATGGATCTCGGGGTATGTCACTCTGGTAAAAATCAAACAAAACATCGACTCAAATTGAAAGTTTAATATAGTAATTAGTAATCCCCAAAAAGATAGAAATAGAAACATATATATATTTATCACTATATACTTAGCTTATCTTGGCTTTAGTAGGATTGAACTTTTCTCTCTATTTGGGGATGCCGATCCAAACAGATCTGACCGATCCCTGGCATTTCTGGATCCCTGGCGGTCAATGAGTTGACGTTCCAGAAAGGATGATCTTCCTCCCATTTCTCCTCCCAAACAAAAAATGGCAAACGGTCTGAAAATATGGGTTATTATATGGTTAATGATGGTTAATGATGGTTATTATATGACTTACACGAAATTACCATACTGAGGGGTCTTTGACCAGCTACACCGACTTTTTGGGGCCATCCAGCTACCAGCCGCCTCCTGAGTAACCAGTCTGGCGCTTGGGCGGGGAATAGGAATCCTGGCGCTGCCAATTTTGATGGCGAAAATGGTGATATATCGAGGTAGTTAGTACAGGATGGGGTCCCCCAGTCGATAGCGTTCAGTTGAGATATAAGTGGCTGAATTTTATGGTTTATGGTAGATATAGCTATAGATAACTATAGTTAATGGTGTTGATAAACCAACTGATAACTGGGGGGGGGCCATCCTGTAAGTTACTATGGTTCATAATGGTTCATAAACTAACTTATAACTTATAACCAGGGGTTCACCACCTTGCACCGGAGTTATGGCCAATGGAGAAGAGTCTTTGGACAAATGCTATTTTATGACTATGCATGGCTACTAGTGGGGAGAATAAGATGGTGGAAGATGACCATATCTTGGAAAAAATGGTGCTGTGGTTGTCGTGGGATATGGTGGAAGAGTGGAGGGTGATCCCCGAGGGACGCAATCAATATCCCAATATGTTTTACTTTGGGCAAGCCCAACCATTCCAAGCTGGCCATTCCAAGATATTCCAAGGGCGGTGGTTCAATGACGTTCAATTTTGGCTTGAGCCAAGCTAACCGCCGCAGCCTCTCTCTCTACTTGTAAGTGCAGTTCCAGTTATAAGTGGGTATATAGGTATATATATATAACTGGTTGCATATGTAACCATATGTAACCATATGTAACCATATGTAACCATACAGTATGTAGCGGCTAAGCCAGAGTTGTAGGGGCTAGGTCATGTTCTATCCCAACCAAACCCTGGTTAGTCCAGAGCTCAGAGCCTCCCATGACTTGCTCTTGGACTTTCCCTTGCCACCCTTGCTGCTCTTACCTTTTCCCTGGGCAAAGAACATCAAAGAACTCATCCCCCCCAGGGATATGTAGGGTCCGCCAGTGATGTTTCTGGGTTTATAATCCTGATTGCATATAAGCTATATATACTGGTTGGTGGTGCAATAACCATATTGAAAGATATGAAGGTCAATGGGAAGGATTATAATTACCATTGTCTGGCTGGTGGTTGACTTACCCCTCTGAAAAATATGAGTTCGTCAGTTGGGATGATTATTCCCATATATTATGGAAAATAAAATCCATGTTCCAAACCACCAACCAGATGGGATTCCGACTCTGGTGTACTGACCCCGTTTTCGTGCAGGGATGACCATACCCTTTTATGAATGGATAGATCCAAATCCAGGGTTTCAATAGGTTGTTATTCAACGCTACCCTTCGGTAGTCAAAGATGGTGTGCTGGAAAATCCCTGGGTTAAGATGATTTTCCTAGTAACACCTGCATTTTCTACTAGTAACACCTGCATTTCCTAGGGATTTTCCATTGATTTTCCATGATTTTCCTAGTAACACCTGCATTTTCCGGTGATTTTCCAGCACGCCATGTTTGACTACCAGAGGGTAGGTGGAAGGACTTCCTTCGCCTTGAGGAAAATCGCACCCTGAAGCCTTCACCCGGACACAAGTCTGGGACGAAACTGGAGCGAGCGGAAGAAAGCGCGTGAAGCAGCTTAGAAATCATATACCCAGAGGTCATCAAACGTGGCAACCCCCATTTCCAACCGTAAAATCAACTATAAATCAACTATAAATCAACAAATAAAATGAAAATAGTTGATTTATAGTTGATTTATAGTTGATTTATAGTTGATTTATAGTTGATTTATAGTTGATTTATAGTTGATTTATAGTTGATTCATTTGTAAATCAACTACAAATCACAAGTCAACTATAAATGAATAGAAATGGCTGATGTTCCACTGCCAAGCCAGGCTCCCTCTGCACCAGCCTTGGGCTCATCGTAGTCGTCATACCTGTGCTAACCGTTGTGGTTGATGGCATGGCTAGTCCCATTTGACAGCTCCAAAGTGGGTGAAGTATCATGTCAAGCTCAAGCGCCGCTCAAGCGCCAAGCCATTTGGATCCATTTGGGCCATTTGCTCTGGTACCAGAAAATTATATGATAATATGATTTACTTTTGGACTATTAAGGGAAAATGTGCCCAGAAAATGCCAAACTCCCATCGAAAATATTGACCTATCTTGACCATACCCGCCGAAGAAAGGCCAAGATGCTTTCCCTTGCTCTTTCCCTTGCTCTTGCTCTTTCCTTTGCCCTTGGATGGCTCCTCGTCGTACTTGCCCTGTCATGGGCTCCTCTGTAGCCATATCTGTTTGAGACCAAGCAATTTCCCTATATTCCCCAATGAAAATAAGCCTTGGTGGAGGTCAACCACTATTCAATCGCCCGAAGGTTGCTAGACTCCAAAAACATCTTCATTTTAAAAAGGAAACCATGAAATATATAAATATGAGGGTATTGTATCGCCCCCCCAACTCGCCATACATCCAAGAATACTTCAGCACTGCTTCAGCACTGCTTCAGCACTGCTCAAAATCACCTTGTATGGTGAGTCAGTGGGGATGATGTACTCGTGTACACCGCATTGATGACCCAAATATAATTTGAGTTTATCCGGATTTGTCCAGGTTGGCCCCATGACTCATTCATAAATAGGGTTTCATTCCTTTGGCTTATTCCATGTATACATAAGCGGGTGAACTAACCATGGCTATTGATATTAGTGTCTAACAGGATGAAATTATATAATAAGTCTGGTTAGGTACTTACAACATCCCAACTGGGATTTTGTCTCCTTCCCATCAGCTTCCCCTTCTCTGCACAAAAAGGGTGAGGTTCCTATAATGTCTAAAATACAGGGTGCAATCCTCCTCGTCGCTATCAGCCAACCAATGATGGGTCAACTGCGCATTGCTCCAGCATTAGTATCGATCACATCCCAAGTGCCAACCAGCGATAATTCACCAATGCATCTGAGCAGTGCCTAGCATGCTCTTGAACAAAACCCCATCTACCCTCTGGTAAACGTTTACATAACTATGGAAAATCACAATTTTTAATGGGCAAATCAACTATAAATAAATGGCCATTTTCCATAGCTATGTTAAATTACCAGAGGGTAGCTAGTTCGATGGATCCACCACAAATCCCATCGCCCATGATGGCGCAGTGCACCTTGGAGCTCTTGCCTTTGCCTTTACCCTTTCCTGCTTTCATGGGGGCGTTCAGCATCTATAAAATACATCTGCAAAATCATGGGTGCATGGAAATTGTCATCATATCGTAGTTGTACATCCCCTGATAAATCATATTAATAATTTAGTACATATTATATACATTCTACGTCATTAATAAAAAATATATAAATATAATTATAATATATTATATTGTATTAAATTATTGTAGTATCCAGTGTAAGCATAGACATCTGCCTAACTTCAGGCAACAAGCCAGGTATCCACCTCGATGAGCAGTGCGGAATCTTCCGTGATGGTGCGAACCATTGGGTCAAAAATGGGATGAACTCACCATCCGCTTGAAATGTTCAAGGCCACCTATTGGATTATTGGGACGTGTTTGAACCAACACTGGTTGGTGGTTCGGAACATGTTTTATGACTTTCCATTCAGTTGGGAATGTCATCATACCAACTGACGAACTCCATCATTTTTCAGAGGGGTAGGTCAACCACCAAGCAGTGCCATGGTTCTTAACACTTGGACATAGCAAAATGATGGGATTTCATGGGATGGTTCCGCCTTTGCCACTCTTGCCACCCTTTGGCGCTTCGGAGGCCTTGCCTTTGCCCTGGTAAAAATGGCGAGCCCCGCTTCACGTCGAGGAGTAACCGCCAACAAAAACAGGATCCAAAAAAAAAGATGAGTACAAGCAGCCCAAACGACTCGTGTGTACAGAAATCTACGCAGTGCACTTTTTTGCAGACATGGTTCCAGTTGCGACTCGCGACTCTGTCAGCCGTAGGAAGTTCAACCCGTTCAACCCCCCATGGTCCCATTGGTGACCCGGCCTTTCCCTTGCCCTTGCCTTTCCTAGGACGCCGCGCCGGAAACTGGCAACTCAGTGGTACTGTGGTTAATTCATGGAGAGTCATAATTCATGATGAATATTGATGAATTGAGTATTGAAGACATATTTTAAGATTATATATAGTCATCAAACCCTATAGATTTCAATCTTGAGCCATATTATCATATATTATCCATATTTTATAGGTTGCAATCCTGAAGTGTGCTTGATGGTTTTTGCTCTTGTTCATAACCAATATCCACCTGCGTGCTCCGTACATCCAGCTAATTTAATCTGGATCCATCTTCAACATCTAGGATTACATCGGTTTCTTTGACAGCAGGATACCCCCGTTTAACCTACGACCTACAGTTTAAACCGCATCTTCCTAAAAACCGCCAGTAGAAAATGATACATGTCTTGCTAAATCATCCATTTTCTCACATAGATTCCCCGCATTTCCAAACTGGTTGGTGGTTTCAACCCCTCTGAAAAATATGAGTCAGTTGGGATGATGACATTCCCAATATATGGAAACTCATAAAAAATATTCCAAACCACCAATCAGCAAAATATCCACAGTTTCCTTGTGATTTTCCCTTTGATTTTCCCGTTGATTTCCAGGACCACAAGACCACAAGCCATCAGCCCGGACCGGCCGGAGCGGGGTCAACTTCAGCTTAGCTACCCGCGACCAGTGGCAGAGCCACGACCACGGCCCTTGCCCTTGCCACGGCCTGGCTGGGGGAAAATGGTCCCCGGAAACCCCGATGAATTGCATTAGAAACACCCGTGGTTTCCTGGAAGTATTCCCATAAATCAGCCCATTGATATTTGAGGTACCCAGTTTTAACCTTATCTAAACTTAGCTTCCAAAACAAAACATGTAGGGTGAGAACTAAAAAACTAAAACCGCCGCTGCTTAGCCCCGTTGATCATGCTCCAATCAACCCCTACGAATTCTGCAGGTTCGGTGGGTCAAGGTACCTTTATTATCCTTCATTTTATTTTGTATATTGCTTCTCGTCCAAACACAAGACTTTCAGCATTTGAAACCTCCCATTTTTCACGGTTAAACTGTTAATCCCAAAGATTCCCAACGTTTTTCAAGGGCTTTTGATCCATCCCTCTCTTACTTCTCGCGCCTTTGCCGGTGCCACCGCCTCGGCCCCTTCCGCGCGCCATGTCCTGGTCGGCGCCAGAGTGGCCATCCATAAATCCAAACTCTTCTGATGTTTACGGATGGGCAAAATAGAATGGCTATCCAACTATCCAACCCCAATTTTTATGGTAAACATACCATAATCATCCAATATATCATCCAATTATCATCCATAATCCCAGCGATTTTGATGTTTACCACCGGGGAAAATTTGACCCTGCAGAATTGTCTTTTTGGGAATCGCAGAGGTGACCACTCTGGGATTCGTGCGTGACCGTTTCAAGGGTGACGTGGCCTGGTTTTCGAACTCTGCACCCAAGCCATCCCAAGCCTATGTTGCCCTCTGAATATGGGTTTGGTACCTGAAAATCGAGGATTTAAATCATGATTTACCCTCTGGTAATTTAACATAGCTATTGAAAATGGCCATTTATAGTGAGTTTTCCCATAAAAAATGGTGAGATGTTCCATAGTTTTGTAAACGTTTACCAGAGGGTATCCAGTTTATGGCCATGTATTGGAATCCATGATGATGGTACCCCTGCTGAGGCATGTCCCCATGTCTTAGGACCCTGCAATTCATGGTCAATTCCTAGGTACCAAAGTCGGTACACATGATCTTCCATGATCTTCCATGTATGGCAACAGGTGAAACCAGAAATGCTATATGGCAGTGTGTCAAAACCAATAGTGCACCTGTAGTTCACATCAAAATAGCTGGTAAATGGATGTTCATCCCTCTAAAAATGGTATTAATAGGTATTGATCCATACCCATATCATGCCATAAACCTATCCTTCTCCATTTACCAATCCTTGCGCTAAACAAATCCCCATGTTTACCGGTGAAAAAAATCCAGTTTCTTCAGCAAGTTTCTTGCTAAAATCACCAGCAAAAAGGGCACCCAGCCTGCTCACTGGGAGATGAAACCAAAGGATTTTTGTTGGGGGGTCATCCAGTGATATAGTCTACCAGTCCAATCATGAATCAGATGGGAATTTCAAGACCCTAAAATGATATCAAAAAAGAGCTACGTAGTACCGTAATCTATAAGCCATGGTGAAATTCTGGGCATGTCCTTTTAAAAAGTCGCCCAAAAACAGGCTGGCCGAAGAATTTCTGATTGGTGGTTGAGTTTCAACCCCTCTGAAAAATGATGGAGTTGAAGTCAGTTGGGATGATGATTATTCCCAACTGAATGGAAAATCATAATCCATTCATGTTCCAGTCACCACCAACCAGTGATGATTAACCATTATTAACCATTCTTAACCATCATTAACCATCATTACCCCATACTAAACCAATCTTCCAGTCACCACCAACCAGATATATTTCTGGTAGCTACCTCCAAATCCTCCCAGGTGAACGATACCGATGGATCCAACGGTCCTCGGGGTCGAATTCTTTCACCATGGACTCGTCCAAAGGGGGCTGGTAGCCCTTGTCCATCGTGTCCAGGGGCTCCTGACCACGGCCAAGTTGGAACGTGTGGGGACAAAGACAGCAGGGTGACTTGATTTACCCTCTGGTTATGTCAAAATAGCTATAGAAAATGTTCGATAAACCATCTATTTCTATGGGCCATGTTCCATAGCTATGTTAGTTTACCAGAGGGTAAATGAGAAACGTGTGAAAAATGCCCCAGTTACTACAACAGTTCATGAAATGTGGAACATCTCAGATCCGCACCGTGTCGTTTCAAACATCAGTAATCCAATGAGACAAAGATCTTCAGATACCCCCGTTTTAACCTACGGTTTAAACCTCATCTTCCTTAAATCTGCCAGTAGATGCCAGTAGAAAATGATACATGTCTTGCTAAATCATCCATTTTCTCACATAGATTCCCCGCATTTCCAAACTGCTTGGTGGTTGACCTACCCCTCTGAGAAATATGAGTTCGTCAGTTGGGATTATTATTCCCAATATATTGAAAAATAAAAAATGTTCCAAACCACCAACCAGTGTTTGTTGGTTTCATCCCACATTTATTACATCCGACGGGCTCGCGCCCCAGGTAGTTATAAGCTGATTTATTACCCATCTAAGCATTATAGTTATAATATGTTATAACAGCCATAAACCAGAGAATATTGAATTACCAATCTAACCGTCAAAGAATTCACCTAGTTCGACTGTTTAACCAACTTTGCTAACTCTCAGGCCTTTGAAAGTTTGATCTCCACCACGGACACGTTTCGGACATCTGTAACCTCACACGTGGAAGGGATGGGAGGGGATAAGCAACAAAGGTTGAAAGCATGGGATAAACAAATTATATATATATCATGAAGATAATATAGGATAAATGAAGAACATATTATGAGATATTCTTTGAAAAAATAGAGACAACATATAATACATTAGAATACAATTAAGGTAACATCAAACGAATTGGAGAAAACACATTGCTACAAGGAGCCAATGTGATCAATCGGATTAGGGCGGGAGATGCACCTTGTCCAATCCTTCTTCGAGTGGTTCATACTCATCGGTGATCTCAACCTTGGAGAAAGGCTGCCCTGGAGAGCAGCTCCCCGTTGTGTGTCAACACACCATCAAAAACACCATCCATGGGAAGATCGGACAGAATTTCATGGTGGATTTAAGGGGTATCCCCAGATGGTTGACTTTCGGAAGTACGACTTCCGGATGGCAACTAGAATTGTGCATGCTGCTGAGACAGAGATTGCAGTTAGTGTCACCCATTCACAAAGCAAAACAAGAACAGATACACTCATCAAAAGTGAGATGACAATGCCATCGAATATCTACCATGGCATATCTGAACATCATTGAACATTGCTATTCTTCTATACTACCAGTAGCACCCTGTATCTGACAAAAAACACCGACAGAAGTCTCTCGGAGATGGGAAATCATCACGTCTCCAGATCAGAAGATATCTTTCATCTTGGTTCCATCACCATTCACGAAAGTTCCTCTACATCTCTATGTCATGTTGGTTACACTGAGACTGCTATTCATTGCAGGAAAAAGGTGCAATTCACTAATTATTGACTGTTATTCAGAAGTACTTATCATATCAATATTTTATTGTACATACATATATATATATACACTTTCTATACACTTCTTATATCCCAACGCTTCAGCACATCATCCCTCGATGTGTGTTTTTTTCGCCCAGGCACTGTCTTTAGCTCAGTGATTTGGTGCAGACCCTTGAAGCGACGCTTGATGACCTGCCCATGGTGGAAGGGGAGGATGGAGGGCTCTGAAAAAATCGTTGTTTCACTGTTAATAATGGTTAATCATGGTTATTATATGGTTAATGATGGTTAATAATGGTTAATAATAGTTAATATTAATTGCTATTATTAATGGTTAATGATGGATACTATGGTAATCTGGTTGGTGGTTGAGTTTCAACCCCTCTGAAAAATGATGGAGTTGAAGTCAGTTGGGATGATGATTATTCCCAATATATGGAAAATCATTAAAAACATGTTCCAAACCACCAAACAGCTATGTTTTAAGGAATCAAGAAGAGCCCTTAAAAAATCTTAGAACTTCATCATGTTTCGGAATTGTGGTTAAGGTTCTTCACCAATTCTGTGAAAACCTCTTTGAATTGCTTGATTTGGGCAGAGAAAATCAGACAGGCGAAAGCAAGAACTTAAGCAAACATGGGAATGTGACGACACATGACATGTGGATAGGAATAACAGATTCAATGGGGGATATGGATGTACCATGATGTACCCAACAAATAAACAAAAATCCCCACTGTAGCGTGGGAAACAGGAACGCAGAAGAGGTGATCAACAGATTCGATACAGGTCGAGCATCAAGACCATCAAGTTCCAGCGGCTTTCCACAGCCAAACATTAAAAAAATATGTGGTTGATCATGAATCAATTTCATCAACAAGCGTCAGTGGACATGTTGATCATGGTTGATTTCTGAACCACAACTAGATCAGTGAGTTGAAGTTGAGCTAGTTCCTAGCAGAATTCCCAACTGCCAAATTCGGAATGTGAACCATGTGAACCAGAAACATGGAATCCCAAGTCCCATCTCCAGAACTTCTCCAAAAAAACACATGGATCACATGCGCTCACCTAGTGCATGTCTACAGCATCCGCATCCGAAAGCCATTGGTTTTACCCCAGGGCTTTGGCCTCCGCGGCTGTGACGGCTTTGGTCAGTGCGTTGCCAGTGGCTTGCACGATCACCTCAGTTGCTAGGTGTGCTGACTCGTCGACTTGATGCAAGGGAGCATGTACCAGCAAAATCCCTCGCGTTTTTTGGGCCAAAATCCATGGTTTTCTGCAAATCATAACCTTGGATCATATCCACATTGACACTGGGTTCATTTTTGGGCAGAGGGTCTGGTGTATTTCAATTTCCTCTATGAACATCACCAGGAGTGATCTACAGTAATTAACCACCATTTAAACGTCCAAAACTGATGTTTCAATCCTCAAGATTGGGGACAGATTAGGAACCCTGGCTTCTGAAAGAGGAAACCCTCGGGTTTTTCCACGCCAACCGGAACCAACCGAATCTTCAGCCGAAGGCGCGTAGGGCTTCTTGAGCTCATTGAAAACAGTGGCCGCACGAGAAACGTAGGCCTCGCGAGATTGGCTGCAGACTAAAACTGTCATAAAGTCATAAGATTCATAAGATTCATTCATAAGAGTCATAAGTCATAGGAACACAAAGTAAGATCAACCACTCTGCTGGTTGCAAGTCACCTGACATGTGTTCATTTGTGATGATTAGCTGATTACGTAAGTATCCACAAATCTCCACTATTTTTGTTGCCCAGAAGATCTCCACATGTTCCGATCGTTTACCGGCCTGATCTTCTCTTCTAAACCTCTTTTCTCGACTCAAATCTTTACTTTCACTGCTCAAATCCTGATTATCACCTTTCAAACTCCCCATTTTTCTACTCAAATCCCTAGTTTCACCACATCAAGATACATCAAGTGCCCGATTTTTCCCGAAAAAAATCTCCCAACGTTCACGGTTCCATCCGTCCTCCACGGACCGGGAGCCCGGACCGAGACGCTTCCAGCTGCCGTCACGCGAATCTCCTCGTCGGACTTGGGGATCTCCTCCTGCGGCTGAGCTGGGTGGGTTAAATGATGGGGGTATAAATCGTGGTTATGTGATGGATATTTGATGGAGATTTGATGGTTATGTGATAGATATTTGATGGATATTTGATGTGTATATGATGGGTATATAACAAACTTGATAGGTTAATTGATGGGTGTAGAATGGTGATATGATGGTTATATAATTGGTATATGGTGAGGATATAGCTAACTTGTTATGTTAATTGATGGGTGTAGAATGGGTGTTTAAAGTTTGTGTAAAGAGCTCATTGGGATAATCGTTTTAAGATGATTATATGATGAAATTATATTATGGTTAGACCTATCATGAGTATATACAGGGCTAATGCAATGCTTATAAGTAATGGTTGTAAAAAATGGCTAAAGAATTATTGTATATTATTGATATTATTATCTCGATATATATATATCTATCTATCTATCTATTTGTAATGGGTGTATAGTGAAATAATATCCAACTGTATATAATGGGGACACATGGGCCCCACATGGGCTAATAGAATGGAAGCAGAATGGCTGTAAAACGGGCTAATACAATGGTTAAGGGCTAATTGGGATATTATTGATTATATAACGGTTATATGATGGAATGCATTTGAAAGGGCTAATGGGGATATATTTGGGATTTGGGATATAATGGGGATATAATTATGGAGATATAATGGGGATATAATGGTGGTGCTGATGCGATGCCGAAATGAAAGGGCAAATGGGGAGCTAACTTGATATGATTTGGGATCATAATTATACACCCATTATTATATACCCATTATACACCCATTATATACCCATTATCGAAGGAAGTTTAGAAGTCAAACTTCCGACAGTATGGACAGATGAAAAGCAGAGCAGGGCAGAGGCAGAGAGAAGAGAAAGATTAGAAGAGAGAAGATCGGAAGAGAAAGAGTC